AAAAGTCACCATAACTTTCTGAGCTAACCGCTCTGCTTTGCTTTTAACTTTTTTTTGAAGGCACCCTCTGGCTCCTGGGACATGTGTCATACTGATAGAATTTGTGTGTAGCCATCCACTGATGGCAGTGACATGTTTAAACATGTTTTATTTAGAATGAACCTGTGTGTGTATGAACTTGAATAACCCTAGTATTGATACTTTTTGACTTAGCATCAGTATTTGTATCTTGTTTCTAACAGAGCTAGTATTGTCCAGTATACCTGAGAAATAAAATGAGGTTTGCTTTGGAACCTTTTAAGAGGACGAAGTTACAAAGAGGACCTGGTCATAAAGTGGCTAAGCAATTAGTTGCTAACCAGCAGGTCAAAGTTTTGAACCTACCAACCGCTCCCCAGGTGGAAGATGTGGCCGTCTGTTTCTGCACAGTTTTACAGCCTTGGCCATCTGTGGGATAGTTTGACTCCATCCTGTAGGGTCAGCTGTGCATACTGACTTGATAACCAGGGGTTTCAGGTTGCAAATCATATTCCTAGTTGTTAATGTTGAGCGCTATATCATTTAACAAACCATCTATAACTTAGTGGTTTAAAACAGTTTGTTATCATTGCTCACATTATGTTGGTTGACTGGGCTTAGTTGGACATGTCTCACTTGGGAATTCTGTGGTTGTACTGAGATGAGATAGCACGGTATGGTTGGATGTCCAATATGAGCTTTTCACCCACAACCTGGTACCTCATCAGGGAAGGCTAGAACAACTGGCATCCTGTCCACATGCGGCTTCAGAGTCTTAAGCAGCTTACATGGTGTCTCGCTTAATGCGGTGCTCAGAGTTGATGACACCAGGGCAGAAGCTGCACAGCTTTGTCACCTACTTTGGTCAGAAGAATCGTGTCTACTACAGTCTCTTGGTTATACAGAGACAGGCCACATGTAGATTGGGCGGGCACTATGTGAAGATGGCTGCCTCTGACTTGTTCCATGTTCAACTGGGGGGCCAATTTAGGAGACTAGACATCATAAGTATCTGTTACTTGTTACATAGAAAGGTAGTTGCTTTTTTATACTTATATATAATTTTTTCAATGTCTGTGTAACGGGGTATGTTATCACCACTTAATACATAGGAAAATTGAGATGCAGAGACGTTAATAACTGTTCTAACGGTCGCACATTGGTGTAGCTGAGATTTTAACTCAAATCCATAAAACATGATTGTCACCAAGACCATATCTTCTCATATTCTGCCGTAGGTGCCACTGGGAAAAGGACGGCGCTGTGTCATTCTAGCCGATGGATTCTACGAGTGGCAGAGATGTCAGGGAACAAGCCAGAGGCAGCCATATTTCATCTACTTCCCCCAAATCAAGACGGAAAAGGTATCCGAAACAGAACTCTCAGTAGATGCGTGGAAAGATAGAGGGAAACAAATTAATCCTAGGAAAGCATTCTTTTTTCTTCCCTCACAACATTTTTTGTTATTGTTGTTTTTAGTAACAGCTTTATTGAGATATAGTTAATCAGAAAATTTACCCTTTGAAGGTATATGATCCAACGGCTTTTATTAAATTCTGAGTTGTGCAGCTATCATACTATGTTTTAGAACATTTCCATCACACCAAAAAAGAAGGGAAAAAAACAAACTTGTACTTATTAGCAGTCACTCCCTATTTCACCCCATCATCTGTTCCCTGGCAACTAATCTGTATGTCACTATAGATTTGCATATTGCTACTTCACCAAATGGTAAGCACGCAATCTGTGCCCTTTGTGTGTGGCTACTTTCACTAAGCATAATGTAACATGTGCCAGTTTTTATTCTTTTTGGGCTGCATAATATTCAATTATATAGTTGTAACACAATTTGTCAAACTTGTGGTAAATGTTTATTCATCAGTTAATGGACATTTGGGTTGTTTGTGATGAATAATTCCACTAGGAACATTCTTTTACTGAAAGTTCTTATTTGAATACAGGTTTTCATTTCTCTTAGGTATTTACCTAAGCTAGGGACTACTGGCTCATATGAGAATTCTGTTTAAGATTTTACAGAACCACTTACGGGTTTTTCACAGTTTCACAGGTTGCACCATTTTGCATTCCTACCAGCAACGAATAAAGATAGAATCTATTTTCTCTATTTCCTCACCAAGTCTTGTTCTTTTTCATTTCCTTCATTAAGAAACCCTTGTGGTGTAGTGGATATGAGTTGGGTTACGATCTACATGGTTGGCATTTAGGGACTACCAGCAGCTCCTCGGGAGAACGAACGACTGGGTTTTCTTCTACTCTTGACAATTATAGGCCTGGAAACCACAGGGGGTTGCTATGAGTCAGTATTGACTCAATGGCAGTGAGTTTGGTTTGGTTTGAGGGGTGAGTTAGTATCTCATTGTGGTTTTGATTTGCATCTCCCTACTGACTAATCATGTTTAGCATTTTTTCATGTGCTTAATTGACAACTTGTCTGTCTTTGGGAAAGTGCCTGATCAGGTCCTTTGCCTCTCTCCTGCCCTCTCTACCACCACCAATATTCCGTTGTTTTTTGGGAAATTTTATACAGCAAGTTTGGATCCTATTTGACAATTTCCATTCACATTGTTCACTAGCATTGGTTAAGTTTTCCACAGTGTCGCAACTATTTCTTTAATCGTACCCTGTTCTTTTTAACTGTTTTTTGATTGGTTTGTCTGTTTTTTGGTTTTTTGAGTTATAAGGGATTTATAGCATTTGACCCATACCAAATATATAATATGCACATATTTTCTCTCCCAGTTTGTGGATTGCATTTTTACTTTGTTGGTAGTGTCCTTTGAAGCACACAGGTTTTAATTTTGAGGGATAATCTTTGTAAATTCCCTGTGCTTTTGTTGTGATGGCCAAGAGTCAATCCATTGCTCAATCTAGGGTCAGGAAGATTTGTAACTTATGTTTTCTTTTTTGAAGTTTTATGGTTTTAGCTCTTACATTTAGGTCTTTGAATTGATCTTAATTCGTGGTATGAAAGAGTATTGTCTGGGACCATAGAGTCTTATCTTCAAATAAGCAGCCATCTAAGTGAGGTGTCAACTAAGACTACATGGAAGAAGCCCACCAGCATGTGAGGATTATAAATAATATACTGTAAACCTGAAGGAGGGAACGGTATCAAAGGTTAAATTGTGAACACCTGGTTTGCAGAAGGCGCTGAACAACAGTAGAAGCTCAAAATCCATTTGCAGGGTCCACACAAATATTAAGCCTTCCAAGAATCTCCTCCAACCATAGGGATGTGATAGCCTTGTCATCATCCAGAGAGCATTATAATATCAGTTATGGTAGATAGATTTAGGTTAACATTTATCATCTTATCATTTGATCTCTCATGATCCCTTTCAGTTAAGAAAAAAACTGAAGGGAGAGAAATGCATGTGAATACAGTGAATCCCCTCTGACCATGGACCAAGGACATGAATAGCCGTGCTGGTAGGCAGAGTGCTCTGGAAAGTGGATGATTGCAGAGGTAGTTAGGTTAGCATTGAACTCCTTATCTGATCTCCCTTTAGACCCATTTTAAATTTGTTCTAGTTTTCCAATATTTTCTACTTTTCAATTGAGGTTTTTCTCTGCTTATTTATTGTTGGTTTTCTTGTGTTTTGTTTGTTTGTTAGTTTTGGTTTTGGTATGTTTTTCTGTGTATGAAATCCAGGATAGGTAAATTATAGGCAAAAACCAGATTAATGGTTACTTAGGAGTTTGACAGGGAAGGTTTGGGGAGTAAAATAGGAGCTAATAATGGCACAAGAAAGAAGAAATGCCCAATAAAATTATTTTGAAAGAAGAAATGTTCAAAAATTAACTGTGGTAATGATTGTACAACTGTTCTTGATATGATTGAACTATTGAATTATATGATATGTGGGTTATGTGCAAATAAAACTGTTTTAAAGAAAAATTTACAGCCACAGAAACCTAAAAAGGGTAGTTCTACTCTGTCCTGTAGGGTCATTGTGAGTTGGAACCAGCTGATGGCACTGAGTAAGAGTGTTGTTGTCATTCAAAGTCAGTCTAGGTTAGCGCTTGCCTCTGGGCTCAGGCCCAGGCTGTCTGCCTGACCCTGCTCGCTGCAAGGCAACCAGTGTTGTTTGCTCGCTTTTAACTTTCACCTGTAAGTTAGGGGTGATGGGGCTCACTGCCTTTCACACCACAACTTAAGGCTTTTTTACTTTAGGGAAGAAGCAATCAGGTGAGACTTCATGCTTTTCCCAGGGCAGAGGGGTCCTCCTACCCCTCTTCTGGACAAACACCCCAAATCGGGCTATGTCCAGTCTCCTGCTTGATGTCTAGTCTTTCTTTTGAACACTCAGGGACATCTGCAGAGGCTGGTGTATTCTCCCCTAAGGTCTGCAATTCCCACGGATTCTGGATTCCCACTCTAGCCCACATTAGTTTTAGCAATGTGATACTTTTCTCTAGGTTTTTGTCTTCCTGTATGGGGTCTTTTTTGTCTTGCTTCTGTCCCTCCTTGGAGGCTCCTCTCAGGTTAATTGGTGAGCCTGTGGCGTTAGTTCACTGATAAGTTCAACAAAAGCTGTAATTCTGAAGATGATCTAGGCCTCTAATGTTGTTTCTGGGTGGGAGTGAGACCCCGTTCCAGTGTTCCGTTGTAGGTCTTGAACTAAATGGCACATCAACGTTGTTGTTGTTAGAGGCCATGGAGTTCATCCCGACCTTATGCACAGAATGAAGCTCTGTCCGTGCGTGCACGTCGTTAGCATGGTGAAAAGAGTAGGGAAGATGTTTGAGCAAGGGGCAATAAGTTGCATGAAAGTCTCATTTACAAATTAGCATTGTGAATGTCCGTCGAGAGTAATAGGGGCTCGGTCCTAGAAGGACCGGAATGTCCAGTGAAGGTGTTACATTGAATTCCAAAAGTACTGAAGAGCCATGAATCTAGGGTTTTGGAAGGTATTTGCCACCAAGCCTCTTAAGTTGGTCAGTAGTACCCAATCTTTGTATAGAAGAGGCTGCTGAATATCTAATGTGCCCTGTGTTTTTGCTCCCAGTCAGACAGTGTTGGTGCCTTGGACAGTCCTGAGGAGTGGGAGAAAGTATGGGACAACTGGAGGCTACTGACAATGGCGGGGATCTTTGACTGCTGGGCACCCCCAGAGGGGGGAGATACCCTGTATTCCTATACCATCATCACAGTGGATTCCTGCAAAGGCCTGAATGACATTCACCACAGGCAAGTCACACTCTTAATCCTCTGTCCAAAAAGATTGAGAGGAGGGTTTGCGTCTTCATTTTTAGATAAGTAGCTTTTGAAATGCAACTTTCCCTAGGCATACATTTAAGGAATGGAAAACTAAGACAATTTGCAAAATACAGATAGAATTGACATTTTTAACAATACGGGCTTAGTAGTACCAACCACCCTACCCCTAGTCCCCAACCCCAGGCAGTTGAAAATTCAAGTATAACTAATTTTTGATTCCCCCAAATCTTAACTACCAGTAGCCAGCCAGCCTACTCTTAACTTACTGATAGCATAAACAGTAAATTGACACATAGTTCATATGTTACCTGTATATAACATTACTTTATATACTGCACCTACGTGAAAACTACGTTTTCAGTCCAAGATTAAAAGGAGTTTTGCAAAAGGTACAAGGTTTTGGTGCCGCTTGGCAGAGCTGCAGCGATGCCTTCAAGAATATACTGTTCTTTTTATACCGTGGTCCTTATGCTGGGTTCGTTTATCTTGAAATGGCAGTGAATTGAAGCTGAGGACCTCAATCCACAGTAGAAATTAAGCAGTTGAACTTTTTCTTGTATTGTCATGACTTCTCTACTTGGGGATACTTCCAGAATCACTGGAAGTGGTATTTTGCATGGATTTCATGGTGTTTCACGAAGGAAAAAAATACATGGGGACCACAAGAGATCACTTTTTACTACAATACATAATTTACTAGAGATGAACTGCTCTCATGAAAATGATTAGCATCACATGTCATTAAAAAAAATCTGTATATAAGGAAACCTGTACAGTTCAAGCCCATGTTGTTCAAGGGTCAACTGTACAGTTCTGCTATAACATGACATGCATTCCTAAAAAATCACTGTACTGGGTGAAATTTTATACCCACCCCACCCCCCAAAAAAAACCCTTAATAAATAAAAAACACAGTATTTGTGGAAAAAGTGAGGTGATGAGCACACTTAACTTCACCAATGATGCATCAACAATTAATGTTATGTTGTTAGATGCCTTTAGTCTGTTACAACCCATAGCGACCCTGTGTACAATAGAAAAAAATCCTACCCAGTCCTGCATCATCCTCACAATCGTTGCTATATTTGAACTCATTATTGCAGCCACTATGTCAATCTATCTCGTTGAAGATCTTCTCTTTTTCAAAGCATGATCCTGACCCTCTCTCTACAAAGCATGCTGTACTTCTCCAGGGACTGGTCCCTCCCGGTAGCAAGTCCAGGTCTCTCGCGTCTCAAGAGCCTTTTGGCTTTACTGCGTCTTCCAGTGTGCATGTGTGGGTTCTTCTCGCAGTCTGTGGTTTATTCCCTGCCTCACCAGGACCGTTACGCCCAGTGCTCAGAGATAGCCCTTCTTTCAAGATGCTCTGTTAGTTCAAGCTTCTCCTCCGTCCTTGGGAGTTTTCTATTTCATGCACTGCTTGGCATATTTTAAACTTTTCTTAATACAGAAAAATTCACAGATGCAAAATAATAACAAAATATAACTTTTAAGACAAGACATGCAAATACTCTGTGTGTATTTTGTGTACCTACCAATCTCTGTTAAACAAGTGCAGTTCTGTGTTCACTTACTGTTTTTTTGCAGACAAAAGCATAACTAAACAAGTATATAGAAAATAATAGTCTATCAATCACATATCAAGAGTTTGAGGGAGGGCAGGCGGGGGAGGGGAGGGGAAGAAATGGGGAGCTGATATCGGGCTCAAGTGGGAAGAGAATGCTTTGAGAATGATGATGGCAGGATATGTGCAAATGTGCTTGACATCGTGGACGAATGTATGGATTGTGATAAGAGATGTAAGAGCTCCCAATAAAAGTATTTAATTAAAAATATATATATATAATCTGTTTTGCTCAGATTGTTCTCTCATAAGTTAGTCACACTGGAACAGATTCACATCTTAAAAACAAACACTAGCAAAAATAACTATATTTGTGTCACACTTGGAGTTTTTGCCAGTGTCCTTAGAATTGATTTTTTAATGTCTTGCTGCAAAGTATGCCACATTTCATACATCAGGATTACCTACTTTAACCTTGTCCTGAGTATATCTATGAAATAATAGTTTGATTTGAAATAGTAATATTTTTGCTAGCTCATCTTAAAATAAATTCCCTTAATTCCTCCAATCTAAAGTACTACTGATAATAGAATACTACTGATTTTTAAGTGTTCCATATTTCATATGCTAAGAAAGGTACAGTGCTGGCAATCACTGCCACCTAAATATAATACAATACAAAACTTCCTCATAAAATACATCTGGGTTTCAGAGATTTTAGAATACTTTAAAAGTACTTGTTTGAAAAAATTACAGCATTTAACTAAAATAGATGTTTATGAATATATGAGGGAGCTTCAAATTTTTCATAGAAAAAATATTTTTCATGTCATTTTTCCAGAAACGTTTTTTTCCCCAGAAACTCTTTGAAGTCGATTATATTTTTTGAAACCAACAGTATTGTTTGCCCATGAGGTGTGTACCACACTTCCCATTGGCTGAGGATACACACTGGAAACTCACGCTGGGGGTTTGTCCAAATATCTTCTTGGCCATCACAAGTCATCCTGGAATGTCCCTGCTGTTCTTTTGCTGCCAGATTAGGTGACTAGCCCTGTTTACTGTGACTCTTTCAGGTGAGGCAGGATTGCTGTGGATAGGCCCGTTTTCCGGCATCTACTTTATTCTGTGCTAGGGCGTCCTGGAAAGTCCACCTGCAGGCGAGTGCATGTGCTGGACACGCTGGGCTGTAGTCAAAGCACTGTTCTTCTAGGGCTGTGCTTGGTGTCCTGTCAAGTTGTCTGGGGCACTCGACCCTGTGATGATTTGAGCTTTCAGGAGACTCATGTCTTTCTCCCTTCTCTCACTACCCACACCCCACCTCTCCCAACCCATGTTGTGACCACCCTGGCTAGGATGCCTGCCTTACTGGATGGGGATGAGGCAGTCTCAAAATGGCTTGACTTTGGTGAGGTCTCCACTCAAGAAGCTTTGAAGTTAATCCACCCCACAGAAAACATCACTTTCCATCCAGTCTCCTCTCTGGTGAACAATTCCCGAAACAACACTCCTCAGTGTCTGGCTCCTGTTGACATTCTCGTCAAAAAGGTACGGACCTATGATCAGTACAGTCCTTCTTGAGCTTTCTCTCTGTCTGCATAGCCTTATCTTTTAGGATATGGCCTTTTACACTCAGAGCTTCAATGGGAACCACCAAAAACTCTTTTTCACATATTCCATGTGTGTGGAATGGCGAGGTGGAGTAGAGCGATGAGTCCCAAACGGGGCTGCGATGCAGAGGCTCCAGGGGATCTCTCACAGTGTAACTGCGGACCCTCCCTACACCTGCTGAAGCTTCTGTATCATTAAGATGCTTCCTCAGTGATACTGCCAATAAGCCAAGTTGGAGAACTCTTAATGTAAAAGCTCATAATTGTATCTCTGGTTCCAAACCACACTCATGGTGTGCCTTGTCATATCCCTTTTCTGTTACCCCTGTTTCCAGCTACAAGCTGGAGAAGGTGTTATAGGTCTCCGTCTCCTGCAGGAGGATTTGAGAGCATCTATATATGGTTCTCGCCTCTTAAAATTCACAAGGATCCAAAGTTAACGAGGTTTATTTTGAAAGGAGGGTAAACAAACAAAAGGCCTGCAATGGGGAGGGACGTTCAGAGCAAAAATGGCCAGGCTAACCCCTACACTGGCCCCACTCACATTTCAGGAGAGAGGTGAAAGAGAAGCAGTTGTTTCTAAGGGACATGGAGGGTCTGAAGGAGGAAATTCCTCTGGGTGTTTCAGGAATAGGCATTTCAGAATGCCTGAGAGAGATCAGAGAGGGTGATCACAAGAACAATGGTCCCTTCCCTTTTTCAGCCCCCACAGTCAGTGTCATCTCCTTTATCTGCACACTCAACTTTTGATGCTCCCCCCCCCTCCCCCAGCTGCCTGTAGCTATTTATAAAGATATTTCTGTCTCTGCCGTGGTCTTTACTCTGGAAAAGCTCATGCTTTAGAGATGTTGCATTATGCTAATCAATTCAGAGCCCATCAGTTCAGGGTTAGAGTGCAGGTGGACAGGGATCCATCTCTCTTCTAGCCTCATTTCCCAACACTCCTCCTGAGTCACACTGACTTACACACTTGTTCATTCTCTGCACATGTTTGGAATGCCATCTTCTGGGCTTAGTGCAACACACTTCCTCGGAAACCTACTCTCCTACCGCTTGGTGCACACGCCACGGCTCCTTTCTTCTCCTGTATTCTCCACATGCCTTAACTGGTATTTCTTACCGACGGTGATCTCCTTCACATATTTGTGAGTTCTTTGAGGTTAGAATCTGTGCCTTATTCATCACTGAACCCTCAGAATTGGCCATATTTTTCTTCAACTATCACTGAATGAAGGAAAAGAAGGTGGCTATGGAGATGAGGAAAATTAAGAAGTATGCTTATTGATCCACTGCATCGAATTAATGCTGACTCTTAGCAACCCTACAGGGGTTTCCAAGATTGCAAACCTTTATGGGAGCAGACAACCTCATCTTTCTCTCCTAGAGTGGCTGGTAGGTTTGAACAGTCTCACCCTGTGGTAAACAGGGCTCCTTTTCCTTTTGTGAAGCAGTTGCGATGAATGTAATTAATTACTATTAAGATTATAGGTCTTGGAATCACAAAGCGTGGACTCAAATCCATGCCCCTTTACCAGCAAGCATAGTGTGGCTTTCAGAAAGCGAGTTAACTTTCCAGAACGTTGGTTTCCATTTTTTATGAGGCTGTAGAATAGTATTTACTTATATTGATGAGAAGATTAAATCATAAAGTCCACATAGCTCATTGTTGGCCCTCAGTTTAAGTTTATTACAACGAGGCCTACATGTATAGAGAAGGAAGAAATGATCAAGAAGTTAATCCTAATCTAAAAATGTTCTGTCTTGTTATGGGCTCTAGCATTAGGAGATAGATGCTGCCTGCACCCCATCTGGCCCTAGAAATGTTTCTAGGAGCAGATGTTTGTACTTTGTCCTCCTTCCTCCTAGGAGTTGAAGGCAAGTGGCAGCAGCCAGAAAATGTTGCAGTGGCTAGCCACAAAGTCGCCCAAAAAGGAAGATTACAAAACACTGCAAAAGGAAGAGTCAGATGTGCCTCAGTGGTCCAGTCAGTTCCTGCAGAGGAGCCCGCTCCCCACCAAGAGAGGCAGCGCCGCACTTTTGGAGCAATGGCTGAAGCGGGAAAAGCAGGAGGAGCCCCTGAAGAAACGGCCTCACTGCCAATAAATAACCCAGGACTTCAGTTTGCGGCTCTCTGTGTGTGTGTGTGTGTGTGTGTGTGTGTGTGTACACACTGGTGTGAGGGTGAGGGTCATTTGCTTGGGTTCTTTCTGACATGAAAGAGGTGGCAGTTTTAGTTGACAGTGTGGGCTTATGGGGGGAAGGGGGTGAAAGGGAGGGAGTGGCTATTCCTGGCTGTGACTGGGAACTCAGCATCCAGTGTGGAGCTGACTGGTGTCCTCAGGAGTATTCCTGAAAGGAGGAGGAGAGACCGCTGCCATCTAAGGTCCCAGGGCCGGCAAGGCACTGTGGATAGACCTTTCCTGGTCTCTGGTTGAGCGTTGCCTGCGGGAGCGCACAGTCCAGCCTGCTGTTCCCTGCAGAGGCTGGTCACTGTCCGCCTGTGGTCGCCCTGTCTTTTAGAATAAGTTCTTAAGATCAGTTTGTTTTTTCATGGTATCAATGATATTTAATTACTCGCATTTTGGAAAATGATGCTGGGGATGGCATTCTAGATTTTACCACCTGTCTCCTGGCTTCAGTTCTAAGGAATGGATTTTATTACAAACCGGGAGTCCTGGGGCCTTTTGTGGAGAAAATTGTTTTGGAAATAAAAAGATTTGGTTGGAGACAACTTGTTGCTTCTCCCTTCACATAATACGTGGCTGTATAAATCCTTTAACTTAAAACCAACTTGATTGAGTACCTGCCATCAGCAGGGGCTGGGGAAGAAGCTGGCTTTGAGCCTCTTGTTACCAGGATCTGTGTGTAGAGAATCCCTAATCAGCCCACAGCGATTCTGGCGCTGGGTAGAGCAGTCACAGGGTGCCATGGGTTTGTGGATGGCTTAGGGGTTTTATTCTGAGACTGCCTGGCGGGAAATCCCCACCCTGACTTCACTCCATGACAGTAGGGGCCACTACACTTGTGTTCCCAGAGCCCCTAATAGTTGTGCCAATTAATTGTTAGAGTATGCTAGAACCTGACTACACAGCAGGGGGTGCACAATAATCAGATAACACACCTTGCGATGAAGTACATGCTAGTATATTAATTGTATACAGTGAGATGTGAAACGGGGCAGCTGTGGATGGGCTGTTCTGTAAACCCCAAGGGGAGGAGAGATGGTTCAAAGAAACAGTGGTGCTGCTGGATTGGCAGGGACAGGAACGGGGGGTGGGAGACCCTCAAGGAGCATCAGGGTCAGGTCCCGCGGCCCTCTTGAAGCATCCAGGAGGTAAGAACTCTGAACCAGGAAGCCGTCCCCGGCGACAGGAAGGGCGGAGGCGACCAGCGCCGCAGGGGCAGCTCCCTTGGCTGCTCTCGGACGGACGCACCGCAGGTCGGCGCACGCCGGCCCAGCACGCTCCGCCTTCCGCCAGCTCGGAATGCGGGCGGAGGCGGAGTCTGGTCGAGGCCTATGCAAATCAGGGATCGGAATGTTCACCAATTGGAAGAGAGCTTCGAGCCCGACTTGGGGCGGGGCGAGCGGCGCGGCACGCCGTCGTTGGCGCCGAGGGACGCGAGGCGGCCCCGGGTGTGCAGTGTCCCCCCATGGCCTCGGCCTGCTCTGTGCTGCCAGGCCGGCTTTTAAGCAGTTTCATGGAGCGCCTTCCCTTCCGCTGGTGGAGGCGGGGTTGACGCGTGGGGGTTCCTGGGAAGAGCGGAATGCCTCCCGCGCCGGTGTCCTTTGGGTCCGTTGGTGTGGGATTTATTTTAGGCTTAATAAACATAACAAAATGAAATCCCCCTTCTCCAGCCTACCTCACTGGTTTTCACAGGAGCCTACCAGTTTGGTGAGGTCTTATGAAAAAATTCGCATTGGGTGTACCTTTTTCACTCAGGATTTTATACTTCCACAGAAATGTCACAGACACGTGCTCTTCTCAAAGAACAGAATGTTTTATGATTCCAGGCTTACATAAATTAAATCCTCTGCTCAGCTTTTATTTCTTCTGTTTACGCTATGTGTTAATCTGTGTTCAGAGGCAAGTTTCAGGATCCCTCCTTGGCATCCATTTTGGTCTTTCTTTCCTGTCTCTAAGGACCCTTGCTTTCTTCCTGTTTGATGCCATTGATGTCACCCCACACTTGGTGTTTAACTGGTGACTGTATGTTGGTGAGACCTTAGCCACTCTGTCTTCTGGCTGGTGTAATAGAGAATAGGATTGTAGGGCATTTTTCTGTTTGCTGATCATTCAGCACCTGGGGGGCGTAGTTTGGCTTATTTTGGTTATCACTGATCAGGTGATAGGAGTGGGTGTGGCTGCAGGATGAATGCCTGCGACTTGGTCCTGTGGTCACAGTTGCTGGCTCCCATGCACTGGGACAAGAAAAAGACGGATTAACACAGTGGCTGTAGTGATGGGCGCAGGTTTGGAAAGATTGTGAGGTGAGCGCGGGACGGGGCAGTTTCCTTCTGTTCGCAGTGTCGCTATAGGTGGAACTGACTAGATGGCACCTAACAAGAACAACTTTGGTTTTACTTCTCAAATACAAATTATAAGGTGACCAGACGTCCCACTTTTGGCGGGACAGTCCTGCTTTTTAACAATTTTTCCCACGTCCCTCGGCGTTTTAAAAATCCCAATTTTTGGAAAGAATGCAGGACAAGCTAGGGTATAGGGTTTTCGGCTGTCATGTGGCTATTTTTGCCAGGATATGAGTTTTACCAATGGTGCCCCGCTTTTGTCCTGCTTTACCAGTGTTAAAATCTGGTCCCCTTAATCTGAACCACCCCACAATATCTCAGAGAAGATCATTTCACTTTTCAGGGAGAAAATAGTGACTCAAACACGTAACTGATCTAGAGGCCAAATTTTTACATAGTATTCATATTTCTTCAAAGGATTGAGAGAGAAAGCTGCAGATGAAATCAAGGGGAAACATAGGAGAATAAACTTTGGAAAAGTATACAAAAACAAGAACACACTGACAAAATAAAAATGAGAACTTGTAAAAAAAACAGCAAATAGCAATCAATAAAAACAATACAATTTCTGAAATAGATTATGCATTGATACAGCATAGGAGTAGAACTGAATCAATCACTGATTGAAGCTTGAAGACAAATTTCTCAATACTAATCTGTTAGAGGAACAATTTTTTAAAATCTGAAGAAAGCCTAAGAATTATGTGGGGCATCTTCAAGAAGTTGACCTTATGTGTAATTGAATTACGGACCAGGAGGAAACAACCAAACACAGAGACAACGGCCAGGGTAGTTGGGAATGGCATCATGGAAGATGAGACTATAGGCAGTCACGAAGCTGAACAAACCACAGACAAGACGGAGCCCAAATGAAAATCACCACAGCATATCAACCTCGGCAAAGCCAAAGATGAAGAAAGACTGGAAGAGTAGGTCAGGGAAAACAGAACAGTCCCCCCAAAGGGGAACCGGTAGGACTCAGCTCAGATTTCTCAGCAATCACCAGTGAGATGGCATATATAAAACTCTGAAAGGAAACAATTGCCAACCAAGAATCATATCCAGCAAAATTATACCTCAAAGCAATGGTGTATGACAAAATAATAATCATTTATAAATTACCAAGAGTTCATGAGGGAGGGGAGTGCGGGGAGGGAGGGGGTAAAATGAGGAGATGATATCAAGGGCTCAAGTAGAAAGCAAATGTTTTGGAAATGATGACAGCAGCAAATGTACAAAATGTGCTTGACACAAAGGATGGATGTATGGATTGTGATAAGAGTTGTATGAGCCCCCAATACAATGATTTAAAAAAACAATGGTGAAATCAAGACCATTTCCAGATAAACTGAAATTAATGGGATCAGAAAAACCTCACCAACCTTACCATAAATTCTAAAGCGGATTCTTTGGATAGAAAATGACAACCGTAGACACAACCTCAGATTACTCTGCATGATCCCATCTCCCAAAGTCAACCCAGACAAACGCGTATCTAAAGCAAAGCCAGCCCACAAGACCGAAAATAGGGGACCATCGCTATCACCTTGTCATGAAGATAATTACAAAGTAAGTAGAGGGACTACTATGGGTACAGAGCTTTCACAGGGGGCAGAAGTGAAGTAGACGAGGCTTTCTGCTCCCAGAAAGATGTACACCCTGGGAAAGCCACGGCCGTAGTTCTACTCTGACTACAGCATCGCTATGAGGCAGACTTTATTTGATGCCAGTGATTTAGTCTTAAACTGCCAAGAAGTAAAACCCTCTCTTTTTTGCAGATATGATTCTATACATAGAAAATCCCAAAGCAAGAAACTTAAAAAAAAAAAACTTTTATTGAGGCTCTTACATCTCTTATCAAAATCCATACATTCCTCCAATGTGTCAAGCACATTTGCACATATGCCACCATCATCATTGTTAAAACATTCTCTTACCACTTGAACCCCTGAGATCAGCTCTCCATTTCTATCCCTCCCTCACGAACGAACCCTGGATAAGTTATAGATTATTCTTTCTGCTTCCCGTTCACTGAGGAGGGCTTTCATTTCTCCCCATAGAGCCAAATGTTAGCTGTTGCTTTTGCATATCCTTCCTTTATTGTGCTGAGTAATTTCAGTTCTCTTCCTAGTTTGTTGGGTGCTTTTCAGGAATGTGTGCTGGATTTTGTCAAACATTTTTCTTCTGCATCAGTTGATAGGATCATTCAGTTTTTCCCCTTTATTTGTGTCTGACATTGAGTGTTTTTCTATGTTTAACTATCTTTGCATACCTGGGATGAATCCACTTGGTCACGAAATATTTTTTAAATATATTGCTGGATTTTATTTTGTTGAATTTTGTTGAGAATTTCTGTATCTAGGTTCATAAGACATGTTAGTCTATTCTATTCTCATGATGTCTGCCTGGTATCAGGGTTTATGCTTGCTTCATAAAATAAATTCAGGAGTTCGACGTCCTCTTCTGTAGTCTGTAGTCTGGGATACTTTGGATAGAAGTGGTCACGCTGCCTGGCCCAGGATTTTTGTTGTTGGGAGTTTTTTTTTTCCTTTTTTTTAAACGATCAGATCAATTTCTTCTTTTGTTATAGGTCAATTTTTTAAAAATTGGCATTTAGTACACACAATTTAATAGTTCAATCTTGACAGGAAGTGTTGTACATTCATTATCACAATCAATTTTAGAACATTTTCCCCACCTCCATGGTTAAGTCACTGTTTAAATGAGTTGTGTAATCATCATCAGTTCTAACGATTGCTCTCCCTGTTATGGATCAATTTTTACATAAGTCTGTGTGTGGCTGTGATGCTGGAAGCCATGCCGCTGGTATTTCAAAGGCCAGCAGGGTCACCAAAGTGGACAGGTTTCAGCCGAGCTTCCTGACTAAGAACAATGAAGAAGGACTCGGCTCCCCACTTTGGAGGAAGATGCCCCTGAAAATCATATCCTAGTTAAAGTAAGTAGCCTTTTTCTAGAAATTTGTCCATTTCTTCTAGGGTTTGAACTTTGGGGCAGTATAGTTCTTCATAGTCCTGTGTGATTATCTTTCTTATGCAGTTAGACAATTTTTGTTGCTAGCTTACGGATCCACTTGTAATTGCTTGGAGAACAATCTTGGACCACATAATGAGAGCACAATGGAGCCAGACTCAGAACCCCGACCTCGACTTCTAGGGGCTTGGTCCCACTAACCTAATCCTGAT